GCTTGGCACCGCAAGCGTGGTCCCACACGGAGGGCCACACGAGCTCAGAAGAGAGCCACTCCGATGTGGAGAATCAGTTCTTGGGGCTGTCGAACGTGACCCCCATTTTTCAGAAATAAATGACTGCGAGGGTTTGGGGTGAGGCCCGAAGCTACGAGTATCGCCGTATCGCAGTGATCGATGACTGTTATGCCTCCACCAAGCCAAGGTCCACCCAACTTCCGCGTTTCACTCCATGGATCAGTCCACATCGCCTGCACACACTGTCCGAGTTGCCTGAGTTTAAAAGCCAGCAGTAGTGGCGTTGCCAGCCCGAGATTGAACTTCCAGTCAACAATGAATCTGGTCAAACACATCGCCGAAGGTCTGCCAACCATTGACACGTCGGCATTGGATGCGCAGATCAAGCAGCTGGAGGACGTGCTTAATTCTGTTGGCAGCAAGGAAACAGGACCTAGAATCTAGAATGCACAGAGACGCGCAAAGTGAAAGGAGTAAAGAAGTTTTGGGATGTATCGGGCAGAGTCGAAAGCAGGGTCCAGAGCACCTTTGCTCTCATGGAGGAGCGGTGTGAGGATGCTGAGGTGAAGCTTGCGACTAGCTGGCGACTGAGTTTAGTCGGCGACATCAAAGCAGTGTAGCGAAAGGTGGCCGTCGAATAGTCGTTTTGAGGCCAGCAGCAATTAGAGTCCGCTTCTGCCGAGCTTGAAGTCCTGGAGATGGAACTGAAAGCTGCGTTCTCAATCGACTCTGGACTCTGGCCGACTTGCACTCTTGGTCTTGCTGTTGCCTGTTGCGGTGATGGCATCAGGTTGCAAGGCACGCAAATCAAGCAAGCGAGGCCGATTGTGAGCGGTCAAGTTCAACGTGAGAGTGCTCCAGCGCCGGTCGTCTCAGGAGAAGATCTTGCAGCTGGAAGATCTTTCCACCCAGTTGCAGGTAACACCGGCACATGTCTAAGGTTTCGCTGCGAAATCAGAATGGTGCTCAGCTGGCAGGAACAGAATCTGGGCTTCATCAAGACTTTTGAGGAGCAGCTGGAGTGGGAATCCTATCTTGGTTCAAGAGACTCAAAGGAGCAAAAGTCGATCGGCGAGTGCACTCAAGTGACTTGCCATTGAGGCATGCAAGAAAAGACATCAGACAAGAGGCTAGGTCGTACAAGCCGTCGCCACCTGTGTTCTGCCAGACTTCTCTGCAGGTAACAGATCAATACCAGGGGGCCTTGGACAATCAAGCGAAAAAGTTGCACGAGGCTCCCAGCTCTTGAGCACCTTCCAGCGGTTGTCCTTGAGAGGTCTCTGCTTGGAATACCCAGCCCAGCTTTCTAGTTTGCAGCGCGTGGAGTTTTGCAGTTGCAAGCTGAACGCTGGAGCGCCTCGGTGCATCGAGCTGCTCAGGGTCAGCTGAAACAGGACCACCATTGTCATTGTGGCGCGAGTAGGCGTTAAACAAATACCTCGGTTATCCTCGGTTCAAGTGTCGGACAGTTGCCGGTTCAAGAAGGGCAGGGAAGCAGGTGGAGGGATTTTGGTGCATGCTGCCAGGGGTACGTGATGTGAAATGTCGTGGCAAGTGGCAAGGATCTTATTGACCCCTGCTTTGAAGCCAACTGTCGACAGGCTGAAAGCCATGTCAGAAGACTGGAAGGTCAGCTTCGGGTCACTGTCGTACGGGCCTGTTGAAGAAGCAATACTGGCTGCTGGAAGATGTCGTCGTTAGCACTGCTTAGATTTCAGCCTGCAATCCTGCCAGCTGGACAAGATCAAAGACCTGGAAGCTGCAGGGTCCCGACCAATCTTTCGCGCGATAAGAAATTTCCTGCATCCTTACTGACTGCACTCTTCGGATACTGAGGGAGTCCGTCAAGAGCGCAGCAACGCTCGTAGGAGTGAGGCGCGACCTTCGGGCACATCTCTGTGTTCAGTCGTCGGTGGCTTTTGCAGTTGGATCAGGCAGCACTGGCTGGCGAGCATGCCAAGATCGAGGAGATGTCATCGAAGTTGCACTGGCAGGTGCACCGCTGATCGGGTCACTGCGATGGGCTAAGTTGCAGCGTTGCAGTGCTGATCCCTGCCAGGCGGCGCGGCTCAGACAATTGGAGTTCTACGCCAACACGTGGCAACGGAAAGTCCACGAGCTGGCTGAGTCCAATGCCATTCGAGCCCGGGGCCTGGATGGTTGTGCCACGGAATGCCACGGCCAAGCTGCGCGGATAGCTTGCGGTTTGTCCGTGTCTGCTCTGACGGCGAAGCCAACGCAAAATGAACCTTGGCTCACGAGACTCACAGGTTCTCACTGAGCCTGCAAACATGCATTCGACGACGTCTCAGCTTGGTTTGTTTTCCAAGATGGCGTTCCTGCAAATACCGGATGTGGGAAGAGGAAGGATTACATTGCCAAGGTTTCGAGTTTCGAATTTCTCCGAGAAGATGAGGTGGCCGAAAGGCGTGTTCGCAGACGTCCATTTGCATTCCGTGCTGGTTGCGGCGGCTTGACATGCAAGTCACTATGCAGATTCTGCAGGACGCATGGTGCAGAGCCCTGAATTCAACATACCGGAGTGGCTCGCCCAGACAACGTTGCGGCGGCCTGAACAGTCCAACATGGATTGCCAGGTTGGGAGAAACTCAGCTTGAGTTCTTCCCGGCTGGGGAGATAAATTCTCGGCCCGGCTGGTGCTCAGTAAGGCAGCTTCTGGCGGTGTTGCTTGGACCTCTCTGACCTCTTTCCTCTTCCTGGAACGGTCTCCTTGGTTTTCCAAGCAGGCTTCGTGTACCCGACGGATCTCGCATGCGCTGGCGGGCTGGGACCTCGAGCCTTTCTGCTCAGGCGCAATCATAGGGACCTCAACTGTTCTTTTCCCGTTCAGGTAACTGTGGGCAACAAGGAATTCGATCCGCGGGAAGACCACTATGATGCACGCCAGTGGCCGGAAGCTCGAAGTCAGGGAAGGCAGTCACACGCAAGTGTAGCATTCCTTCAGCCCAGGTGGAACAGATATGGCATCCAGTGCCTGAACTTTTGCCAGGCGTGTATCGTCGTACTTCGTAGACACGTGCGGCATGTGTGTTCTGATTTACATGCTGCTGTTGCGGTTGTCGACGCATGGGCTGCACAATCGTCGATGGCTGGGCGGCATTCGTTGCACTTCTTGTTGTTGCTGCTGTTGTTGCTGTTGCTGTTGTTGCTGTTGCTGTTGCTGTTGCTGCCGCTGCTGCTCTCACTGTCGCTGGCTGTCGCTGTGGCTGTCGCTGTCGCTGATGCTGTCTCTGTTGTTCTTGGTGCTGCTGCTGCTGCTGCTGCAGCTGCTGTGGTTGTGGATGTGGATGTGGATGTGGATGTGGACGTGGATGTGGATGTGGTTGTGTTGATTGTTGTGATTGTTGTTGTTGTTGTTGTTGTTGTTGTTTGTTGTTGTTGTTGTCGTCGTCGTCGTTGTTGTTGTGGTGTTGTTGTTGGTGGTTGCTACTTGTATTGGGTGGCCAATGCCACCATCTCATACCATCTCCGTCGCCATAGACGATCAGCGAAGGCTTCACGGCAGTGTGTGCTACGATGACTTTATGACATCAGTTTCGTCTTCTGGCTCAACTGGCAGATAGCATGTCACAGACTTGAAGGGTCGCCTTGAGAAGATGAGTGTTTGCACTCGGGCAGAGGGGGAGGAGCACTCATCGTACTCTTGGTGTACAAAGCTGCCGGCAGTTATGGGAGCAGCTCTTCAAATCTTTTCCCTGTCAAATGCATGTCGGACCAGCACCCTGTGAAACATTTTGCCATTCTTCTGAACTCTTCAGCTACCAGCGGCAAAGCAAATTCAAAATGCAGTCGTCATGCGGGGGGCAAGCGGTGACAGCAGGACCAGCAGCACGGTGGAGTTTTAATGAAAGCTGACAAACCCGTTTGTGGAAGGAAAGGCCGTGTGCCTGTTGCCTCACGAGATTCAGAATCACGCGATGGAATTGCTTGTCTTGCAGTTTTTCGGTCTGTCGATATTCCTTCGGTCCCTGCCCTCAACGAGAGCGAATGGCTGGGATAGCCTGCATTTTTCAAAGCTTCCAGGCCGACGATCTTTTGGCAGAGGTCCTGCCCGAATCGGACTCGGTAGTGCTAGGTGTGCAGGCAGGGGGAATGAGGGCTCTCAGTTTGATGGCCGTGGAAGTGCTCAGTGGAAGTGCTCTGGATTTCGGAAGGTTCTGGAGATTTTTTCGACCGCTGCCAGACGCTGGGTTGTTGCGGTCGTGACACATGACGTGTTGACCAGCCCATGTGATTCGGTTTTCTGATGTGAGGTTGTTCCCGCAGCCCCTGTGGTCCCTGTGGACGTCGATCGTGAGGAGGATTCACCATTGCCTTCCATACGTGATGCTCTTCTTGCAGTGCCGCCACAGGCGAAGCCTGCGAGGCCCGGCACCGCCCCACAGTCGGCGACCTACCGGCTTCCGAAGTCGAAACGTGACTTGATGCAGAAGCACTCCTAAAGATCTCCAAACCCATGCCAGCACTTTTTTGTGCGAGGCGTCATGCTGAGAGTCCTCGGAGACTCTCGAATGCCAGCCAGGCGCGGCTGAATCCCTGCTCTGCCTCATCATGCTCTTTACCACTGTAGGCTTTTAGCCTGTCGAAGTGACTTGCTGCATATCTTCTTTGATGAGACCATGGTGTATGTGTCGAGTATGTGTGCATAATGGTCTCGAGAGCGAAGAGTTTTCAACTGTTTGAGCGGTTTGAATCTTTTTGTTTCAAGGCCGAACTCCTGCCTGTACATCCACACCATGCCAAGATGCAAGTAAAACCAGTCATGTGTGTGATGGAGGGCGCAATGCAGATGATTTTCTTTGCACGCATGAGTGGACCAGGGCAAGTACCCTTATGAAGAAGAGCTCCTCAATGTGAACTACACTTAAATTTAGGAATTCCCTTGCCAGTTTCGGTGCTGCGCACCTGCTCCGCCTCTCGACCTACTCTTGAGTGCGCGGCCCACTTCTGCCGATTTGCGCTCTGCTGTGCGGGCTGCCGTTACTGGTGGTGCTAGGTGTGGGGGTGGTGGTGGGTGGTGGTGGTGGTGCTGCTGCTGCGGCTGCTGTTTGTTGAGAAGAAGTATCCACTGTCATTCCTTTGGTCGTTTTCTTCAGAACTTAGACAAGCAAGCTTGGTGCTGCTGACCCTTTGTAGGATGCTGTAGCAATGACGGTGGAATCAACGCAATCTAAGATACCGTTGCAGTCGGCATCAGTCAGCATATTTTTGCTATCATGCAGGAATCTAGAAAACGGCGATTACACATCTGGTCATCTACTGAATCTACTGATCATGTGTTCACCTAACTACTTATTGGTCCATCCCGTTCGATTTCTATCGGCCGATCATGCACCTCTTTGTCTGTTCAAAGGTTATCTGCGTGTCCATCCATCCATCCGTCCGTCTGTCCATCCATCCGTCCGTCCGTTGATCGGTCTGTGCGAACATCCGTACCTGCACTGACAGGCAACCGGTTAATGTGTGCCAGTACCATGATCGGATCATGAACGAGGTCGCACGCAACAGCTGTCATCAATCGGTCCAGACTGCTTGCCAGAAGACTTGCTTCGAACTATCGTCAGGGCATCGGGCGCATGCAAGTTCTATAGGGTGACGGGTGACGCAGGTGCCACCTCCCGCCATCAGCAGCATCAAGGAGGCACCTGTTGCCCGATCGCAGCCGCAGCTTCCAAAGCCTGCGTGTCGCCCAGGGGCTTGCAAGAAAATCGAGGCATGTTTGGGTTCCTGCGTGCTTTGCTCAATGTATTGAGGCGTATGCTTTTGCCGCCGGTACTGCTTCCGCTGCTGCTGCGGCTGCAGCTTTCGCATGCCTCCCAGTTACAGCCAAATGATATTGCTGCGATTGCCTCCAGAATTGGTTTTTGTTGAATACTGGAATCTCCGAGGTGGTGAAGAGTGGCAACTTGCCACCTGCTGTGGCTGCCAGCCGAGGGCTTCACAGGCTTGCTTGCATGCTGCGCAACATACAGTGGTTTGCGTTGCGTAGCAGCGGTCAAGATGAAGCCTGTTGACGTCGCTCCTTCAGCATGGCCAGGCAGCGCAGCTTCGGTGCCCTCCGAGCAAACAAAGTGCTGTGAGATGCTCTGCGTGAGTGGAGCTGTGTAGTCAGGTGGACGACCGATTTGAAAGAGCGCCAAAGACCTACTTAGTAACACTCGGGAACTTGACCAGGAGACTACTGTACCTGTTTCGCAGGGAGACAGCCTCTTCCGCGCTGTCCGCTTGCTTTCATTTGCGGCAATTTGAGCTGCTGTACCGTGGACGATGAAAACTCACGGCCTTGGACAGCTTCTGCACATATTGCACGATAATGCCTGGTCTCTGTGAGCCGAGGGTGCTAGAAGACACTGAGCGTAGGGCTCACTCCAAATTCATCTTTTTCATGCCCCCAGGCCCCAGGTCACATGATGCCATGATCCCGCCTGCAAAACGCAGGAAAGCCACAAGTGCCTGGTAGTTATGGTCTCAAAGCCGCAAGCACCTGATTCCCCGAAGGGCGTCCAGGTCCTGCAATGGCACCTGTGGTGGCTTTGGGAGGAAAGGAGATTCAGCGAGAAGTTTTTGGAACCTGATCCTGTTCCGCTGCCCCCCTCCGGAAAGAGTGATTCTTCTGGCTCAACTCAGGCTCTGAATTTAGGCTGCAGTAGGCTGCCATGGTCAGAGCGAGCCAGCAGGCCTTAGTCTGCAAGTTTCGGGATGTGCCGGTTTGTTGTGGGTGTTAGCTTGGTCTTCGTAGGCAGCCGCTTCTGGCTCCACGAGACGTACCAGGCCATGCCACTCCTGGTTTGAATGGTTTGTATTCTCAGGAGCATTTCCGACTGCCCCTAGTTATGGTTTCCGGCAGGTGACGTCGGGGTATCTGGATGATCCGTGGACTGAAGAGCAAGTCAGATCCTTGGTGTTACCGTAGCGGAATCGGCGCCCTGCTTTGATAGATGTTGATAGACCGTCTATGAGTAATTTGAGTGCTCGAAAGGTTTGCCAAGTCAAACAGCAGCACCAATGTCGCGGCGGGGAGTGGGGCGCAAGGAGCGTCTGTCATCAATACATCGAAGGCCGGTGCGGCTTGATGCAACCAGCGTAGCCAGTTGGTAGGCCCAGGCTTGTGTGGCTGCGGATCTGCAGGTCGGGAACGACCCAGACACAGCTGCTGTGCCGGACGAGGGCGAAGCTGTCGAGCCGAAGAGGAAAACTCGCAGAACTTGCGCTCGCACGGATCAATGTACGCTTCCGCGCCAGAGAGGACCGGTTCATCCTCCTCAAAGGCGATAGTGGCCTCAGCCCGAGACTGCATGTCTATGCAAATTGCAAGGCCTCCCGTGCTGACTGCAAGGCAGCTGAAGATCCTGCAGGGAACGGCTGGGCATATGAGGCTGATCTCTGTTGTACGGATGTTGGTGATGGCCCAAACGCGCCCTTTCGGCCAGGATGTGTGGAGCTATGTTGACTCCATGGGAGTGACCAAAATTCCTGGAGAGGAGACAATTTCTGTCATTGCTTCACCAGCAGGAATATGGTGCAGAGAATGCATCAGATGAATGACAGTACATATATGTATGTATGTATATATACATATATCAAATAAATACATAAATGAACTAATTACCCAATCAATTAATTAACTAATCAATTAGCTAAATAAACAACTAACTAACTAACTAACTAACTACCTAGCTAGCTAGCTAGCTAGCTAGCTAGCTAGCTAACTAACTAACTAACTAAATATATAAATATATAAATATAACATATATAGATATAAATATATATATATATGTATATATATATGTATATATATATACACACATACACATATACATACATGCGTACACATGTACATATGTATGTGTCCACATCCATCCGCCCGTCCGTCCGTCTGTCCATCCATCCAATCCAACAGACATCATCAGGCCATCCATCCATCCATCCAAAGGGAAGGAGATTTTGCCATGGTATGCTGTGCTTTACTTGAAGCACTTGTCGAATTAGTGGAGGTTTCGTCGTTCTATGCCCTGAGATCTTGCACTCGTGCTCCATGACTTTCTGACTAATTCAGGGTGCTACAGGCGGAGCCTGGGTGCCCCAGGTATCCCCAGGTCGAAGCCCGAAGGCATCCGAAGGCAACGGGCAGGCGGCATGTGTTTTCCATCTCCGCGGGTATGTGCAGTAAGGGTATGTGATATGCGTATGTGGTACGGTGACAAATCCCCCTTCTCGTCTCCCTCCAATGGTGTCATATGCCCGCTCTTGGGTGGATGGGTTACCTTTCTCCCTGCGACATGGGTGGTTCTGAGACCATCCGCATCTCCGTGTCGATTTTGGTACTTTATTCTTCAGTGGTTCTGGTGCTTCGCGGATGTGGCTGTGGGTGGGTTCGGTTTGTTATTGATCCTTCGCCCTATGTGGATGCTTTACGCGATTCCCGTGACTGTTAGCATTGTTTAGACCTCGCATTGATATCACGACCTTAAAGCGGCAACAATTGCAAGGATTCCGGTCCATCAAATCCCTGTAACTGTGGATGCTGATGAGGTGGCATCACTGGGTGGGTGAGTGGATGGGTGGGTGGGTGCCATACATGTGCATGTATATGCTATATTTAGTTACACACACGCACACATGAATACATAAATAAATACATAAATAAATAAATAAATATATAAATATATAAATAAATATAAATAAATGAACACACACACACATATTTCTATATAT